CAACCGCGTACGTTAAACAACTGTAGAAAGGTGTCAAATTAACTTAAAAGACGTAAGGTATGAAGACCAAGATGGTGTGGCCTTTTGTGTGGTCGCAGTCACCTTTCGTTATACAGAAGTTGCTTGACCTTTTTTTCGCAACATGGTCAAATTGGTAGAAAGACTTAGAGGAACGCACCTAGTCCGGAGTCCATTGTCTGCATGATCAATTTCAAAGTTGGACCGTGGACGTGGTACATTCCCAGACCTGTCGCCGGCATCGTCATGAGTTGTCTCTTTGATGAGCTGTTGTGTGGTGCTAAGAATGGCAATACTCACTGACAATGCCGGCGAAACGTCTGGGAATATACCACGTCCACGGTCCGACTCTGAAAATGATGATGCATACAATGGACTCCGGACTAGGTGGGTTCATCTAAGTCTTCCTACCAATAGGATCAAGTTACGAAAACAAGGTCAAACAACTTCTTAAAAGACGTCAGTTGCAAGCAAACTGGGACTGTTTTTTTATTTTAGGGTTCACTCTGGCCCTAGTCGGAAGAGGCAATAGTTTGCCCCGAATGAGGCTGTAGACATAAGCGAAGGATGAAGAGGCAATAGCAGTTGCCCAGACAAATGAAGACAAATTTTCGTCACAATTGCTCGACCTGACGCCCGCTGAAGCGTGCATTTGGCTTTTTGCGCTCTCTAGGCTCTTCCTGCCGTCCTTTCTAACCCGTAAACAGACATCCATTTGCGAAAAGCTACTTTTGCCAGAAGCTAAGCCCCAAAGAGCGAGCGAGAACTCGAGCTCTTGTTCTTCCGCATTGACTAACCGGTCCCTTTGTCTCTTTTCAGTGCCCTTCAGCGTCAGGAATCTGGTCGTCCGAGAGATCGCCTCGGCCCCTGGACAGCCCAGCCGCGACGTTAGCGACGCAGCCGGTCCCTCGTCTGCTGGCAGGCCGCAGTCGAGGGGCCGGCGTCAGCCGGACCCAGTCGGCGCCTCGGGCGGTGAACCGACCGGCCTGACGGGACTCGAGCTGGCCTGGTCCGTGCCGAGCCGCGAGGCGTCGGCGTCGCATCACAACGAGATTGGCTCGCCATTCTGGATCGAGGAATACCAAGTGGTGATCCTGTCGCAGGAGGCCAACAGACCGGCCAG